CCCCCCACACCCACACTCACACTCACACCCACACTCACACTCACACCTACACTCACACTCACACCCACACTCACACTCACACCCACATTCACACTCACACCCACACTCACACTCACACCCACACTCACACTCACACCCACACTCACACTCACACCCACACTCACACTCAAACCCACATCCACACCCATTTCGTGATCTTGTGTTTTTTTGACTTTTTGTTCTTTTGACCTGGCACAAATCCACAAAGCCACAAACGCTTTTAAGTTTTTTCCGTATGATCCTCTCTTCAGTCGAGGGAACAGGAAAGTGTAAATACGGGAAGCGACAGTTCTGACTCTGTTGAGAAACTACATATGGATGTTGATGCCAGTGAAGATCAAGAGCCATTAAATTTCAAACACAAAGTAATTCTCAACGATATTTCTGATATATTCGAATTATGTAAATCAAAATGTCCGACAAAATATAGTAGTGTATTGTTATTCATGACAATGCGTTATTTTGGCGTTAAATGGAAAGATTGTAATGATTTCTTAACTAAAATTGGAGAACTAACCAGTCAAACAGCTCATAAATGGGCCAGCGCTTTTGTTACCGGAGACTTTGATGAATTTTGTAATGATAATTGAGGTGGAAAACGTGGTAATGACTTTTATGATTGCTTTCCTGAAATTGAAATACAAGCGAAAAGTTTCACCCTGGGACGCTGCTCAAGAAAAGCAGCTGATTTTACAGCCAACGATTTAGCTCAATTTATTAGTGAACAATATTATCTAGTTACAAAAATAGTAAAAGATGATAGTGCTTCTCTCATTCGTTCTCCAGCTTCCTGTCGCTTAGACCTTCGTCGATGGGGTGCATGTTTTGAATAAAATGGAAATCGTTCTTACTTTGAAGGACATGAAAGAGCCGACGTTGTTCAACAGCGGAATAAATTTATTGACAAGTTTCTCGAAACAAAAGACCAGTACTATACGATAACAGATGGCGACATGCCGAAATGGATAATACCGATTAAAACTCCAGCTATAGTACTCTTCTGTAAGTGAACTTTTTGAGAGTAGGATTTTCTATTCTGTTTTCTTTGGTTCTTATCCGTCTAGTTCATAATGAATCAACCTTCAAATCCGGAGAAGTTTCTGCGAAACGTTGGTTCTTTGTCAATCAAGCACCTTTTTACAGTAAGGAACGTGGAAAATCAAATATGGTTAGTGATTTCATGATGCAGCGTCCAATTGGGCCATTCTTTCAATTGGGTGAACATGAATACAAGCGGGCTGTTGAGAAATATCCTGAATTATAAGCTCCATCCGATATTGGATATCCTCATCGAGCAGCCAATGCTTCAATTCTAGTTGATCGTGATGCATATTTTCATAACCCTACGAGTCTTGAATAATTCGAGAGAATATTCAAAATGTTACAATATAAAGACGAACTCAAAGATCATGCTATTTAGTTAATCGCTGACAACGTATGCACTCATTCCGCAAAGTCACATTCAGCCAGTGAATTTGGTAAATCGATTGGCACTCGTTGTCCAGTTGACACTATCGACTGTATTGACTCACAAGGAGCGAAACAAACGCTCGATTGTTATTTTCGTAGTGGACCGACTCAGGGGCTATCCAAAGGATTACTTGAGATTGCGAGAGAATTAAAACTAACAACAGTATCCAACTTGAAGCTCAAAGAACTACAGAAATTGTTAACTGATCACCCTCACCAATCGACGATCTTGCCCTATTCTTTCCAGGTTCTTGTTTTTCTTGGTTTTCAGACAAGATTCTTGTATTCTTGCTTTTCTTGTATTCTTCTCTGATTTTTATTTTTCTTGATATTCTTGTCTGATTCTTTTTTCCTTAGATTCTTGTCTGTTTCTTATTTCTTGTGTATCTTGCCTGAATCTTGTTATATTAAAATAGCTTTGTATAAGTTGTTATTACTATCTGTTTCATACCATTTTATTACGAGCTTTGCACACCATGTACAAAAAAATGTACAAAAAAATGTCCAAAAAAGAAAAAAAAAAAACTTTTAGTTCCACATGTTATTATAGAAGTTTCACAGTTTTTGACATAAGAAACAACATAAAATTTTCATTATCAAAAAAAAAATATTTATTTTTTTCGAACTTCATCATTGTCATGTGTATCTGGGATTTCCATCGTCCATTAAAAAAATACTTTTGTACATAATGAAAGAAAATCTAAAAAAATAAAATAAATAGAAAGATATGGATTAGTAAAATATTGAAATGTATCCAATAAGTGTTATTTATCGGAAAAAAATTTGAAAAAAGCTATTATATATTCCATTGCTCTCTCTATATCGAATGGAAACATTTTCTCTACATCTAATTGAAATAGAGTTGTTAGATGTTGTTTTAAACGAATCGAACGTTTTAGGAAAAGTACATATTCAAAGTGATATTGTACTAGCTATCGAATTAATAATGAATAAATAACGTTCAGACATTGCTTTATATATTTGATCATACAAAGACGACATCACGTGCCATTGATCTTGGAAAGCTAACAAGAATCTTTTTCTTTCCTGCCATAAGAATCTTGCCTGAACTGTAAGAAATTTAAAATATTTTGTATTTCTTTCCAGTTTCTGTTTTTTCATAATTTTCAGACAAGATCCTTTTGATCTTGAACCTCAGACAAAGTTCTTTTTAAAAGAAAAGAAAAAGATTCTCACCTGAACGTTAAATATATCTTGAATATCTTATGATTCTTGCTTGATTCTTCTATTTCTGATTAATCAGACGAGATTCTTGTCATCTTGGAATCCAGACAAGATTCTTTTTACTTTCCTGTCGAAAAGAATCTTGTCTGAAAATAAAGAAAAACAAGAACCTGGAAAGAATAGGACAAGATCGTCGATTAGTGCTGTTTTTAGTAATGTAAGTTGAGTGCGTTCACTAGTCGACGATCTTGACTTCATTCTGTCCAGATTCTTGTGTTTCTTGATTATCAGACAAGATTGTTTTGTCATTCCTTCTATACAAGATTCTTGCCTGAAAAAACAGATCTTGACCTTCTGGCAAGATTCGTGTAGACAGAAACTTGGCTGGCAAGGCAAGAAATGTATCGTCAGGCACGATTCTTGTGCTCTTGTATTCTTGTCTGATTCTTTTATTCTTGGAGTTCTTGAAGGATTCTTGTTTTCCTGCGATTCTTACATGATTCTTGTTTTCTTGTCATTCTTGCATGATTCTTGTAATACAAACGAATCCCATTCGTACATCAGTAAGATTGCCTCGTTTCGTTACTATTATATTTTAATTTCGAGTTTCAAACAAAATGCAGAACAAGTAAAAGACAACTGCATTAAAATATACGATTACTTCATATCACATACACAAAAAAAGAGAAGTTTGACAAAATTAAGAAAAAAAGACGAACAACAAATAATAAAAAAAATCGATGTAATAAATGCGTATCTGTTATAGTTCGTCGCCGTCGTCATCATCTTCATTATCATGCAAAACTGGTAGTGGTTCAATTGTGATCGAAGTTCTTTATTTTGATGCAGCTATTTTTAAAGTTACTTTTTCCATGTGTAATCGTCGTGGATGCGTCTCTTGCACAACTATAAATGAATAAATAACGTTCACATGTCTATATTTTTAACTATATATGTATAAAGACATCACGTGGTATTTTTCTTGAAGATCTGATAAGAATTTTTGAAAAAGAAAGAAAAAGAAACTTGTCTGATTTCCAAGAAATTTAAAATATCTTGTCATGCTTTTCATATTCTTATTTTTCTGATCAATCAGACAAGATTCTTTTCATCTTGAACTTCAGACAAGAATCTTTGCGAGAGAAAAGAAACAAGATTCTTGTCTGATCTTCAAAGAATCTTGAACATCTTGCCATTCTTGCATGATGTTTATTTTTCAGGTCAATCAGGCAAGTCTCTAGTCATCTTGAACTACAAGCAAGAATCTTTTTACTTTCCTCTCGAAAGGATTCTTGTCTGAATATTATGATTAAAAAGAATCTTGTCTGATAATCAAGAAAAACAAGAATCTGGAAAGAACGAAGTCAAGATCATCGACTAGTGTTAGTTGACTATCTGTATGACAATACTCAGAAATTTCTTTGCATTTTTTCTCTTAGACTTCACTTGTTGAACAGCTGGGCGATAAATATAATATAAAAGCAATTTTTTGTCCAAAATTCTACCCAGAACTCAATGCGATCGAGGGCTTGTGGTGCTGTCAGAAGCAATTTATTAGATCTCGCACAGATCAAACATATGAAATAATGTGGCGCCTGATGGTCGAATCACGTCTTTATTTCAAATAGAAACAACTGCAAATGAAACTTTTCCGACAGTTTTGGCGTTGTCTGTCAGCATACAAAACTGAAGAGACGTACGAACAAGTCTTACGACTATTTTTCAGTAACTTGGCTAGAGGACTAATAAACGGACATACTCGAATCAGTAATACTGGTTTGGATGATGATTGAACCGCTGATATTTTTTCAGTATGCTTTCGTTTTTTTTCCTCAACGGTTTATTTTAAATTTATCTTTTTCTGTTATTCAAGTGCCATTGCATGTGTTACTAATCAAAAACATGTTGATTTCGAAGGCTAAACATTCTTTCAAGGAAAAACTTCGTTTTTTCGCGAAAGTTTTCTAGAAAACCCTATGGGAGGTTTCTAGAAGTCTTAGAATGAACTCGAAAGTATCTCCATCGAATTCCTCATGTTTTTTAACCTACTTGAGGTTAATTTTGTTGTATTTGAATTGAAAATGAAAAAGTTAATCAAAGATGACCTGTCCGATTTTCTCTTAATTCCAGTAAAAGTCAATTTTCTCAGCAATACAAAGGAATTTAAAAACACCTCTCCATATTTTTGAAGCTTAAATTATGGCCGTTCTAACGACGTATAAATCAAAGGTATAGCACTTCATCTGAAAAAGTAGATAGATTTGCAATATCAGTCATTCAGTTTTCACACAGGTCAACTCAGACGTTCATTGGCAGACAAGAGTCTACCTTTAAAAAGAATTGAAATCCATTTTCTAAATCAGTTTTCAGTGCTGATTCAGAAAAAATTATTTCAAATCGTCTATATTGCAAAATAACTTCAGAGGAATGAGTTTCATGATATAGGTCGATTTTTTCAATTTTTGACGTCTTCACTGTATTTTGAGTTTTTCTCTATGAAGGAACAGGTTATGAACGTCGAAAAGATGATATTCGTGATTACCACCATAAGACGTATCAGAATATGTATAAAAAAGTCAACAAAAACATTGCTTGAATTTTGCTTTAGCTGCACCTTACTTTTATCGACACTTCAAAAACCAAAACTAGAAATTAACGAGGTTACATAATTGACATACCAGCAACTCTGCTCTGATTTTGATTGAACTGATATTATGCAATCAATATCTGCATCAACTACACAGAACTTATTGCCATCTGATAAGATCCTAAAGCAATATCAAAACGCATGCCCTAGCACGCTTGGTTCTGTTAGTTTAACTACAATATTCATAACAATTTATACCGCTGTATACTCCTTTTAAGCTACATTTTCATGTTGGTGGTCGTTGCCTTCTATATTGGAAATTTGATTTTGAACATATA